GTAATGGATCTGGTACTTTGACGATGTCACCCTCATTCGGCAGCTCTTTCCATCTGTCCAGTCTGGCTCTGCCAGATATGGTATGGAAGTAGTAGTCCACGTTGCGTACGTCGAGGCGTATCCGACGACGTGTCTTGGTAGATGTCGCTGTGGCCTTAGTGTTCGCCATGAGGGTCTTGTCACGGATGACGTAACTGCGGTCTGAACGGCGTGAACGTCTAAAGTTGGCAGGAGAACGTGCTCTGGTGTTGGGTGAACCACGGGACGATCCGCGGCTCGGATACCGTTTGCCACGTCCTTTGTCGCTGCCATATGATCTATCACGACCGCGTGGGCTGCCGCGTCCGCCGCCACGATTGTCTCGTCCTCGGGAAGTAGATTTCGAAGATCTGTCGTAACGACTTCTCGATTGGCTGCGAGAGTCGTGGGACCTCCTGGATGTCGAACGGGATCGGTCGTATTGGCGTCGGTTGTCGCGTCCCTGTCGTGAATCGCTTGCGTAGCGAAACCCCCCGCGTTGTGAAGACCGTTGGCTTCCTGATCCGCGGGATGGTGATCGGCCACGGCTGTTCTGGCTGGAAGTCCGTGGTCGACTCGGGCTTCGTTCAGGAGTCTTTGCACCAGGTGCGAGATGAGCGTATTTGCATTTGTCGCCTTTTGTGCACTTGTTCTGTGCGAAATCCTTGCACTGTGCGACGTGTGGGAAGTTGCACTTATCACCTCTGGCACATGTGTTGCGCTTGGCAAAATCGAAGCATAATGGCGTTGATGCTGGCTTCTTGTGGTTCGCAGGAGTGGACATACTACGGCGGGGGTTTGCCACCAGCCGTTGATGTTCTGGAAGATTTGTTGTTCTTCCAATCCCTGGAATATGTATGTAAAGCCTTGCACCGTTCACCGTTGCGACAATTGCCTTTCTTCCATGCAGCGCACACGTTGACCTGAGATCGTGTCTCATGTTCGTACCGTAGCTTGTTTTGATTTTTCTCCAATTGTTTAATCTCCAATATGTCCAGGACACGCTGTCGAAGCCAACCGTAGGTACGATTCGGGTCGCTCATCTTCATGCGCTGGTACTCGTACATGCTTGCTTCATCCATGCATGTCTACGAATCTGTGTGCGAAATAGCGATTCCAATATCTTTGGATCGGGTACTTCTCGGCATTCCAAGAGTAAGGCGTCCCAATCGGTAATGAAACGTTGCAAATCTTCATCTCTCATCCTCAGTTCTTTAAGGCGCTCGAAATCGTGCAGATCGTCGTCAACGTCTGTCACTTTGTAGGACTGTAGGATATGCCAGTATATCTGGCGTCCTTTGAGCATGCGTCCTGCTTTGTGCTCTCTGGTCTCGATGAGCCTGATTTGGTAGCGTAAGTCTGAGGATAAGATGTCGCTCAGAGCGGTTGCGAGTTTGCAATCGATGCTCTCAAAGTCTCCACTGTCTTGTAAATCCTCGAATGTACATCCGGGCTGTTCTGCCACGCATAGGAAGGCGTATGCTTTGGATGGTCGCCCTGAGGCGGCCCCGAAGTTCTTTCGCACTCTTTGCTGCCACTCTAGCAGCTGCGTGATCTTAGGCAAGACAGGTACACGGACGGTGTCTGACTCCTTAATAGGTGTCGTTGTCTGGACCGACGCCGCAGACACTGGTTGTGAGGGTATCGGCGCACCGTCGGTGGTTGGTTCTGTGCGCACAGGAGACACATGACGTGTCTGTGCAGAAGCTGCCGCGGAGGCTGCTCCTGGAGACGTACGTCGTTGTTGTCCTGCTGAAGCTTGCGGCGCTTCGGCGGACGCTGCCGTCGGCCTGTGCGGGTCGGCTGCAGGTCGAAGGTGAATGTTGGTGTCGTTAGTGTGGTCGATCAGCTGATTCGTCCAGCTCGTCATGTCTTCTTGTATTTGACCCACCTTTTGGCGTGTATACTCATCAGTATCCCGAGACCGTTGTGAATACCGGTCAAGTCGATGCTCGCGTGCTCGGAGACGGGCGCTTTGTGCCTCCACCTCGCTTTCCAGACGTGCGAGGTAACTCTCTACACGTACCTTCTCAGTATCTCTTTCATGAATAACCTGGGAGAGCTCTAACTGCGCGTGGTCCGCCGCCTTCTCAACCTCCTGCAACCTGTCAGTGAGGCGGGCGAAATCGTAAACCGTGGGAGGAGAATCCAGCTGATCAGTCTGGGCTCGTCCGACACGCAACTCTGCCAGGGCGTCCTGTACACCAGGGAAACGCTGCTCTATGTCAGAGATCCGGTTAGCGAGTGGCTGCACGACAGCGTTGGTCGCATCAAGCCTTTGAGTGATGACTCTCTCAGTACGCTGCAACATGTCGATCAGGTTCGACGAGTTTGTGTGTGCTTCGGTACGAAGCGTCGCCGTAGTGTGGTCTAGATAAGATCGAAGATCATTGATCTGAGACTGAACGTCGCCGAGGTCTGTGGCCTCGGTTGGAGTTGGTCGGTTGCGGAGCTGGTCGTGGATCTCATCATGTAAAATCCTGACCGCAGAAATGCCTGTGTCGCGTACGATCACAAGTTGTTGCTCCATCTGCGCGAGATAGTTGCGCAGGTTCTCGACCATCGCCGTTCGTTCACCTGAGTGTGACACCTCACGATCAACCTGGTACTGCAGTTCTCCTATGATGCGTCGATCTTCGGCGATCCTGGAATCGATGATCCCTAAGGCGCCGTCAAGATCGCGGCGTATGGCTGCAGTATCGGTGGCGTTCGTCTGAACGCTCTGTAGTAGTCCAGAGTATTGGCTGGACACGAAGGTTTCAACCTGGTCTCTGAGCTCAGCTATGTCACCTGCGGCGGACGTCTCCGCCAGCTGGTCGTCTGAGATGGAGAGGTGGGGAGCGTCAGCTTCCCTGTGTCCCCTGTCGCGGGGAGTGCATGGCCTCTGAGAGGCAGTGCGCGGGCTCGACCTGCTTTCGCCGCATGGGCCTGGGGCTCCACGGCGGTTGCGCGCGGACGAGCTGCGACTCGGACCATGTGTGTGGTGTCTCATCCGATGATACCTTGGGGTACCGCGTCTGCGGCTGTGCCGACACTGGTCTACTGAGTTCCTCGAAGGTAGCTACGTGCTCCGCCACAGGGACGGTCGCAGGGCTGGGGGTCCCAGCACCTGAGGTCCATCGGCGGTTAGCGCGAAAGCGCCCTGGAGTATCGAGACCAGTAAGGCTTTCGCCTGACGCGGTTGGGATTGCTCCCGACGGGGAAGGGGAGGGAGGATCAAAGGCCGGCGTGTGAAACTCCTTCCTTCCTGTTCCTACTCCTTCTCCTGTCCCCCCGCGGGCGGCGCTGCGGCGAAGTTCAGCAACTAGACGCGCCTCGGGTCCTTGGGAGCTGGGGGGGGGGGGTATCGGGGACACCAACACAGTCCGCACTAATGCTCTCCAACTCGTCACCGAGCCGTCGCGCCGTGGGAGAGCTTGGACGCGAAGCCCCAATGGAACCCTTACGGCGCATGCGCCGAAGTGGCTCCATCAGGCTCGCATGCAAGGTCACCGCGGTCGAGTCGGTGAAGGTGAGCTTAAAGGGCTGATAACCTGTGTATGGGGTTGAAGTACAAGGGTACAGAACCCCTGATCCGTTGGTAGAGAGATGGAGGGATAGATGGATATCTTTCCCTCCCACGCGATCAAGGTACGATCGCTCCAACTCAGTACCTGAGCCCAAACGGCCAGGTGCGGGAGAGGTAAGGATAAGGAGTATATATGAGGGTATTACACGGGTTCCATTCACACCTACTCCCTACCCACTACTCACTATTCGCTACTCCCTACTCGTTACTCTCTTAATACCACCCACTATTCACTACTGACTACTCTCTACTCACTACTCGCTACGCCCTACTCGCTCCTCACTACTCACTACTCGCTACCCCCTACTTGCTACTCACTACTCACTTCCCACTGCCACTACCCACTACTCTCTATTCATCACTACTCACTACTCACTACTCACTACGCACTACGTACTACCCAGTACTCAATACTCACTACTCACTACTCACTACTTACTCACTGCTCGTTACTCGCTACTCACTACTCACTACTCGCTACTCACTACGCACTACGCACTACCCACTACTCACTACTCACTCATCCCTACCCGCCACCCACTACTCACTACCCACTACTCACTACCCACTACTCATTACTCCTTACTCCCTACTCAATACTCAATACTCGCTACTCGCTACTCACTACTCACTACTCACTAGTCGCCAGTCACTACTCACATCAATACACACTACTCACTATTCACTACTCACTACTCCCCAGTCCCTACTCCCTAGTCGCCACTCACTACCCACTACTCACTGCCCAATACTCACTACTCACTACGCACTAACTCACTACTTACTACTCACCACTCCCTACTCCCAACTCCGCACTCCCTACACGAGGGGGGGGGGTCCGACCCCCCCCCCCTTTCCAGCGCCAAGGGGGGGAGGGGGGGGGGGTCCGGACACCCCCCCCCCTTCAAGGGAGAGGGGGAGGGGGTTCGGGACCCCCCCCCCTTAAGGGAGGGAGGGGGGTGAGGGTCCGGACCCCCCCCCCTTGAAGGGGGGGAAAGGGTGTGGGCTGGACGCCCCCCCTTTTCGTGTATTCAGGGAAATCCACTGGCGCACTTTCTTTGATTGGCCAAGGAGGTACAGAACAGTCTCTTCACGGCGAGTGCCTCGCCATCACTCGAAAGCCCATTCCCCGTGTGCATGTTTCGGTGTCGAGCGTGTATTTTCTCGCGAGATGGTTTTGCCGAGAAGAGAACACCCGAGCTAACTGCGCTCGAATCGCGCGGCCCACTGGCGAGGAAGGTACCCAGAGCGCCTGGATGAATTCACATGCAGCCGGCCCATGCAGCCTCAGGCCTGGGCCTTTCTCTCGCAAGATGACCCAAGGAGGCTCCTCGATGGTCCTCGTCGAGCACACAACGCACGCGTCCGAGCGATGCCACGGAGAAGGCCGGACTTCAGCCCCGCCGCTCGTGGCCTCCGGGAGCCGCCGCCGGCGCCGCGGGCAGCGCCTGGGGCTGAACCGGCCGCGGCCCCACGCCGCCGCCGGCGCAGGCGGCGGGCGCGGGTCCGGGGGGCGCGGGTCCGGGCGAGCCTGGCGGGCCCTTCCGTGCCCCGCGCAGCTCCTTCCCCATCCGCCCCGCCCCCCGTCCCTCCTCTTAACACGAAGGCAGAACCGAGACAACATCAGACCGATGTAAATCGGGCCTGGAGCGTTCCGGAACGCTCTGGAACGGATTCGCCTCGATTCTAGGCCTGACTGACCTCTCCCTCTTCCCTGAGATCCTGGCGCCGCAGTTTTTTCACACGGGGCGTTCCTTTCGATCGGGCTCGAAAAATGACGCAGAAAGTTGGGGTCTGGTATTCTCGTCGTGACTTGTTGCGATGTTGCAGTGTTTGCAACGTCAGATCTCAGGGTTCCCCTGCGCGTGAATCCATGCTCATCCGTGCTCTTCCTGCTCTCTGTGCTCCTCCGTGCTCCCCCTCTTCCTCCCCCCCATTCCCCCTGCGCCCGTGCCGATCGGATTGATTCTGACCTATCGGTGACTCTAGGCTCTATCGGTGACGGATGCGGTGGTGCTGGTATGGTTGCTGACCTATCAGTGCGCAGGTTGTGTGCTGTCGGTGCTGGTTTCCTCGTTGGTGATGGCGTCCTCGTTCCTTCCTGTTTCTCGTGGTGTTGTGGGACATTGCAGTCTGCGTGTCGAAGCCCTGTTGGCTGCTGTGCGATGCGGTGAGCGTCGAGTGGTTGGCGCGCGCTGGCTACCCAGAGAAATGTGCGACGGTCGGCTCATTAGGGTCTTTGGGGTCAGTGCCAAGATGACTCCTGTAATCGGCGTCGAGCCTAGTGATGGCCACTGAAAAGCACTGCAAACGCGATCGGCGGTGCTGACCAGTGGCGCTCGGCCAAATCCAAGGGCGGTAGCGGCTGACTCTCATTCCCCATCCTCCTCCTCCTCCCTCCTGCTCCTTTTCCTCCTCCTCCGTTCCTCGTCCACAATCCTCCTCTTCCTCCTTCCTCCTCATCCTCCTCTTCATCCTCCTCATCCTCATACTTCCTCGTCATTCAGCTCGTCATCCCCCTCATCCTCTTGCTTCCTTCCTCCGTCTACTTACTCCCCCGTCATCGCATCCGTCGGAATGCGGGTAGCGCACGGCGCAACTCGATTGTGCGCGGCGTATCTTTCTTATCCAGGCGTCGCCCGACCTATCCCCGCCCTTCCTGCTCCCGCCTGGCCCCCTTCCCGTTCACGGTAGACGAAATGCCACGCATTGAAGCGGCACTTTACGTAGGGGTTCCACGTCCGAGTCGGAACCCAACTCGGCGCACAGCCAAACGATGGGTGGAACGGGGCGGGAAGAGAGGTAGGGGTAGGATGCCAGACCACGTCGACTAGGCCGAACAAGCCAGCGAGCCCCGCACACTCCACGCTATCTCCCATAACAACAGAGCCAATGGTGGCGGAGCTTGATATTGGAACTGGCACGCCCTACCATCTGGCGAACAGAAGCCGCTAGCGCGCGGTGATGCATCCGGCGACCTGGCGGAGAAAATACGCGGGCCGCGCGCGGGCGCGAGTGGAACTTTCGGAACATCTCTGCGTGACACTGCGGCGAGAGCACAATTGAGCCCTCTCGCGCGCGGCTAAATTTCCGACGGGCGTGGCAAAAGAGAAACATGCGCCGCGCCGAAGCAGCACTGACACTGTCACACCAAATCAACGCAACGTTTGGGTGCGACAGACATTTCGCATTTCGCCCGCTCTCGAGCGGCCCAGCCGCCGTTGCCGCTTTTCCGCGACACAGCGGGCGTCAAAATATGCTCCGCGCCGTAGCGGGCACGCCATCTCCAGGCAATCTGCATGGGGCCTGGGCGAGCGCGGCAGAAGTCGCACGCTCGCGCGCGGCCCCGCCACCAACGACTTGGCGTGTATCCGAGCATTCTGCCCCAAGAGGCACCCAGGAGGTGCCCAAGAGGCCTCCAAGAGGGCCCCAATAGGCCCCAAGAGGCCCCAAGAGGCCCCCAAGAGGCCCAAGAGAGGCCCCCCCAGAGGCCCCCAGACGGTCGCCAAGAGGCCTCAACACTGCCTCCAAGAGGCTCCCACGAGATCCAAACGAACACCCAAGAGGCTTTATACCCACAACCCAGGCACGGTGGCAGAATGGGCCGAAGGCCATAAGACATGCGCCACGCCCAAGCGAGGGCGCCACCTTCAGGCGAACTCTGGGCGGCGCCGGGGCGAGAGCGACAGTTCGCCCTCTCGCACGCGACCCTGCTTTCAGAGCCCGTTCATCATCATTCGCGATACATTTGACCCATCTGCTGAGGATGCGCGGTAAGGATGTAGGGCCCTGGAAAGCCACGTTGACGTTTCTCAAGTGGCACTGGCCAGCGAAAGTGGCCAATGATGGGCCGAAGGGGAAGGATGCAAGGGTGACCTTGGAAAATTGCTCATTCTTACTATGCGGGTTGACTGTAAAGCCCGTGACCGGCCCCCCCTTCCCACACTCCTGCCTCCCCGTGGTCACTTCACGATTCGCGCTGGCCCCGTGTGGGCAGCAACCAGTCCTGAGCATACTCAGACGGGGCTGGCGCGAATCCTGACGTCGATGGCCCTCCCCCCCCCTCCCCCACCGCGGTCACGCCCTGCATCGCCAGGCGATAAAACACAGTCGACAAAGTAGTGATCGAAAACTGCCCGCCGCGCCCCAGCGGGAGCTCAGCTCAGGAAAAACTGAGCGAAGCGCCGAGGCAGCAGCAACGTTTAGCCATTTCGCGCGATGCGCGACCCTCTCCAAGTCTCGCCACGCACTGCGCAACGTCGACAGCGACACGCCGATGTTGAAAAGAAAAGCGTTGCCTTCGTTCCCAAAGCAGTTGTTGCATTAAGGGGTTCTTACTTGGTGTCTAAGGCAATTGAGCCTGAGTGGCGGTTGCGCCGGCTCGTTGCAGCCCGTCGCCGCCGCTGGTAGCTAGGCCTGGGTGGCGGTCCAGCTTGCTCGGCGCCGCCCGTTGCCGCCGTCGCCGCTGTAGGTCTTTGCATTTCAATCGCATTACGTTGTTTTGTTTTGTTTTGCTTGGCAGCGCTTTGCGTCGCACCCCGTCGCATTGCTCGACATGTTTTCGCATGGCGTTGCGCCACATAGATTGCACCACATGGACTGCACTACTGATATTGCACATAGCACCACCTAGAAAGCAACGCACAAATGGCAAGATCTCATTGATTGGGGTCCACGCCGGCCAACACATGGCTGTTTGATGGATGGACTGTCCCGGATGAGGTTGCTGTCTGCTGGCTGGGTGGCATAGTTAAGCGTATACGAACGATGGACAAGGATAAGGAGCCATGATATGGCCCGAAGGCACCTAGCTTGATTAGCTTGCCTCTCTCCCCTCTCCGTCTCCCCTGTCCCTCTCCCTCCCTCCTTCACTCCCTCCCTCCCCTGTCCCCTCTCCTTCCCTCTCGCCCCTCTTCTGACTCACTCCTCCCCCATAGGCCTCTCCCTTGCGCCTCTGGCGGTCAAAGAGGCACCACCAGAAACACACGTTTTGGTCGCAGCAGCGAGAGTCCTCGCCGCGTTCGACAGCAGAACTAGGATGCACGTGGCCGGATTGGACACGGCGGGCGGCGGGAGGAGGAGCGCACGGAAACGGGGAAGCGGCGGGGAGGAGGAGGAGCGCGAGGAAACGCGCGGAAACGGGAGGAGCTCGCTCAGAGCGTGAAATCCTTAAACGCGTGTGTGTGTGTGTGTGTGCCAGAGCACGTGCACAGCGAGGATATGGATCAGAAACAACACGCGAGCGCGAAGGAACCACGACTCCTGCTCCTGGCGGGCCCCTCTCCCGTCGAACGCCTCCAGGGAGCGGGACCTCGACCCCTGCCAGGGCGACCCCGAACGCGTCCTCGTCCAGGGAGGAGCCGCCACCGGCGTCGCGCGAGGACCAGAACAGGGCCTGCCCGCCCCCCCGGGCCAGGGGCGGGGAACCCCAGGAGGAACGGGGTCTGAGAGGGGGAGCTTCCGTAGGAGGAGAGGGGGGGGAGGGAGAGAAGAGGAGAAGGAGGAGGAGGAGGAGGAGGAGGAGGAGGAGGAGGAGGCAGGAGGAGGAGGAGCGAGGAGGAGGAGGAGGAGGAGGAGGAGGAGGAGCAAGGAGGAGAGGGAGGAGGACGAGCAAGGAGAGGGAGGAGGGGCCGGGAGGAGAGGGCGAGGGGCGGGGGAGGGGGGGGGGACTCACGCCGCGGGCGCGGCGCCCCCACGGCCTGCCCGAGGGAAGCCGGGGCCTGCGCCCATCACGGCCTGCCCACGGGCCGCCCCCCCGCGCGGTGCTGCGCTGGCTCGTGCTGGTACGCTCGGGACCGCCGAGGTCCAGGAGCCTCTCGGGCCGGGCGAAAGGGGGGGGATAGCAAAGGGGCGGGGGATTGAGCAGCAGCTCACGTAGCTGAGTTTCCCGGCGCCTCCCGGCGCCGGGAGGCGCCCATGCATCGAGGAATGGGCCCGGCGGCGGGGCCGAGACCAGCTGCATGCAGCAGATTTCGTAACCCCTCCTTTCCCTGGCCCCCCCTTTCGTTCGGCCCGCGCCTCCGAGGGGGGGCCTGCGGAGCCCCCACGACCTCCGGCCTCCGGAGATCCCCAAAGAGGCTCCGGGGAGGGCAGGGAGGGAGGATCGAGGGACGACGGACCGACGGACAGACAGGCAGACAGACCACACAGGAGCCATGCTTCAGCGCTTGACACCCGGGAGAAAAACTGCGCCACCTCAAGTGGGCAAGATTATCTGGATTAAGTGGCTCTGTGTTGCGGTGCATGTACCAGGCGGCCTCGATGGGGAACCCCGCACTGTTACTCGCGCACCTTGATCCTCCTGGTCCTGTGCTTTGTGGGCCTCGGAAACGGGAAGGTATTTTTTACCATTTCCGAAAAAAAAAAACCTATTGAAAATGGAAACGCGTGGAAAAACATGCAATTATCCCGGCAAAGCAACCTAACAGCGATGTGTAGAAGCATGTCTGAAAGCATTCCCCTTAAGATTCAGATGAAAATCCAGTTGTAGAATCCTGCTGTTCTCGCAGTCGTAGTCGCATTCGCGATGACAGTCGCAGCGGCAACGGCAGTCGCAGTCACAGCCTCAGCCTCAGCCTGCCTCAGCCTCAGCCTCAGCCTGCCTCAGCCTCAGCCTCAGCCTCAGCCTCAGCCTCAGCCTGCTTCAGCCTCAGCCTCAGTCTGCCTTCAGCCTCGGCCTCAGCCTCAGCCTGCCTCAGCCTCAGCCTGCATCAGCCTCAGCCTCAGCCTCAGCCTGCCTCAGCATCAGCCTGCTTCAGCCTCAGCCAGCCTCAGCTCAGCCTCAGTCTGCTTCAGCCTCAGCCTCAGTCTGCCTTCAGCCTCGGCCTCAGCCTCAGCCTGCCTCAGCCTCAGCCTGCCTCGGCCGCAGCATCAGCCTGCCTCAGCATTCAAAATGTGGCCCAGGAATGAGTTCTGGGAACTAGAAGAACACGAAGTGGCCTACAGTTGGCTCCGGGCATTCAAAATCATGCCCAGGAATGGAGTTCTGGGAACTTGAAGAGCACGAAGTGGCCTACAGTTGGCTCCGGGCATCAAAAATGTGGCCCGGGAATGGAGTTCTGGGAAGTCGAAGAGCACGAAGTGGCCTACAGTTGGCTCCGGGCATCCAAAATGTGGCCCGGGAATGGAGTTCTGGGAAGTCGAAGAGCACGAAGTGGCCTACAGTTGGCTCCGAGCATCCAAAATGTGGCCCGGGAATGGAGTTCTGGGAGCACCAAGAGCGATTTTGCGAGGATGTCCCAAGCGATTTCGGCTTCGGCGGCAGCCTCCCCGGGTCCCGCCCAGACCCCCCTGTGGAGTCATCTGTTGCTCTCTTTTGAGTCCACTAGAAACCTATCAGCAAAAGCTGTTAGGTAAAAAACGGGAACGGCAGAAGACGGCTCCAGAATTGGAACCGGAAACGGTAAAACAACGGCGACGGAACCAGAACAAAAACAGCGCTGGATCGGGCAAAAAAAAACGGCAAGCAACACAGAACCGGTAAAAAACGGCCCTGTCGATCGTTTCCAAGGCCCACCCACTAAGGTCCTGTGGTCCTTGTCGACACGGGGCACCCTCCCATGCCCTCCGGCCTGCCGCCCCGCCGACCTCCTCGGTCGGAGGATGGGGGCCGTCTGGAGCCTGCTCTTCCTGGACTCTGGCAATATTGCTCGCCTGCACGGGGGGGAACGGGGGAGGCCGAACCCGACGCGAGCCACAAGCGCCTTGCACGTTGGGGGGGGGAGAGAAAGAGGGCGAGAGGAGGAGGAGGAGGAGGAGGAGGAGGAGGAGGAGGAAGGGAGGGAGGGAGGGAGGGAGGAAGGAAGGGACGATGAGGAGCTACTCGTCGACTCTTGGGGGGGGGGCTCCGCGCCTCGCAAGTGCAAGGGCGTTCTGTGGGGAACGGGCGATGCCGACGACGTTGGGGGAAAGAGGGCGAGAGGAGGAGGAGGAGGAGGAGAGGAGGAGGAGGAGGAGGAGGAGGGAAGGGAGGGAGGAAGGAAGGAAGGGACGATGAGGAGCTACTCGTCCACTCTTGGGGGGGGGGGCTCCGCGCCTCGCAAGTGCAAGGGCGTTCTGTGGGGCACGGGCGATGCCCGACGAGAAGACGACCGGGCCGGACCCCGGCCCCGTCGTCTGGCCCAGCCGCCGGTCCTGGCTCTCCCGCAGTCCTCCTCCCTCCTCCTCCCTCCTCCTCCTCCTCCTCCTCCTCTCCTCCTCCTCCTCCTCCTCCTCCTCCTCCTCCTCCTCCTCCTCCCCCTGGCCCTCCCGCAGGGTCGCGCACACGGATTGGCCGGGCGGCGGCGATGCGCCGCGGGCGCCTTCGCTGCGCCGCTCCCGGCCGCTTGCAGGAAGGATTGCAAAAAAACGAAGGATTGCAACGAAGGATTGCAAAAAAACGAAGGATTGCAATCCAGGGTTTTTTTGCAATCCTTCGTTCGAGGGGGTCGTGACGCGCCCAGTGATAGCCGTCGGATCGAGCACACGGATTGGCCGGGCGGCGGCGATGCGCCGCAGGCGCCTTCGCTGCGCCGCTCCCGGTCGATTGCAGGAGGGGGTCGTGACGCGCCCAGTGATAGCCGTCGGATCGCGCACACGGATTGGCCGGGCGGCGGCGATGCGCCGCAGGCGTCTTCGCTGCGCCGCTCCTGGTCGCTTGCAGGAGGGGGGGTCGTGACGCGCCCAGTGATAGCCGTCAGGGTCGAGTGCACAGAGCGGCAGCGCGGCAGTGATTCGCCGTAGGCGTCTTCGCGCCCGCCGCCCTCCGTCGCTTGCGGTGCGGGCAGCCCGTATGGCAAGGACGCATGTTGAGAATGCAAGGGCCTCGGAAGGCCACGTCGACACTTTGCGGGCGGGGCGCGGCCTGCGAAAGCATTCAAGGATGGGCTGAAAGGGGAAGGGTGCAGAGGTAATCTCGGAAAGCCGCTCATCCTTCGCATGCGGGTTGACTGTAGGCGTCTTCGATCCGCCGCCCCTTGTTGCTTTCAATCGGGGTAGTTGGCGAGCCGAATGGCCCGTTCGACCCGTTGCAAAAGGTTCCCAATGAGGTCTCGGCCCATCCAGCAGGCCACGCAGAACAGATGTATCTGGATGGCTCTTCCGCAAAAAATGACCCGAAGATGCCTCCAAGGAGACCCGGATGGCCTGCAAGGAGGCCCCCAATGAAGCGAATATAGCTCCAAGATGGCCAATGAAGCGAATATGGTTCCAAGACGACCCAAGATGGCCTCAGGGCGACCCAAGACGCCCCAAATAAATCCGAAGGGGGCTCCAAGAGGTCCTCTAGGAGAGCCTGCAGAAGTCAAAAGCGTTGATTCTTCTTTGGCGTTTGAAAGATCTTCGCATTCTGGCCTTTTCTGATCTTTTTTCGGACCCGACAGCCGAAGACGGCCCCCGAGGCCTCCAATCTGGCTCCAAGACGGCTCAACAAGCCCCCGAGAGGGCATCCAGACGTGCCAAACGGCCCACAGACGGCCCAAGAGGGCTCCGGGACTGCCCAAAAGACCTCCAAGGCAGCCCTAAAGCACCCTGAAAGGTTCCAGAGAGCCCTCAAGATGGCCGCCGAAAGCGTCAAACGGGCCAAGAGAGTCATGGACGACCCAAGAGGCCCCCACGAGGCCCCCACAGGCCCCCACAGGCCCCCGAGAGGCCCCAGAGAGGTCCACAAAGTGGCCCCCCACCAGGGGGCCCCTCCGTCTCCACCCAAGTGTTTCCCCCAGGGTGTTCCACAACGGCGGGGGGAACCGGGAGCCCTGGCCAAACTTTGGCACAACCATTGGCCACGTAGGAGTTTCCAAAGGGGGCGGCGGTGATTCGCCGCAGACGTCTTCGATAAGAGAAAACATCGAGCAATGATTGAGGATGGGCGGACGACATGTTCTCAAGAGGAGGAACACTCAGACGGCTGAAGATCGCCATTCCTCCGGCGTCTTGATGTCTGCGAGCTGCTGCTCCATCACCTGAAAAGCCCGCTTGACTGTCCGACGAAAATGGCATGGTCTGATTGACGGAATCATCTCGGCCGTTCGTGATGATTGCCTTGCTCGAACTTCTGACGGTGGTGACGCAGAACACAGCAAACACATATGGCGGACCGGCGGACCGCCGCTGGGGAAGGACGTCAGATTCATGCAGAACGCCCAGAGATACTGTCGCTTACGATGCGCCATACGTAGGTTCGTCGGCATCCTATCTGGTCTCTCGGGTGAACAAACGAGCTCACACAATCCAAGGGGCAAATCTTCGCTCGGACTGGGGCTAGTCACCCATCGACAGTCCCATTGAAACGTGGAACGCGAAATTACTCGACGCGAGTATCCCCATAGATGTGCTTTGCATTCCTGGCACGTCCCGCTGTGAGCGTCTGGCCATGAGCGTCTGGGTGCGAGAGTGAGTCCAGAAGGACGACGAGAACAACGACGACGACGACGACGAAAACGGCGGCGGCAGCGGCAGCCGCGGCGGCGGCGGCTACAATGAGGGACAGCGACGACGACAACTCAAGGTAATCTGGCCGCGAACCGGCCCATGAAATACCTCCTGGCGGCTCCCCCTAGAGCGCTGAAATCAGCGCCTCGCCCTAGACAGCCTCACAAGTTGGGTGTGGGGCGAGCGTGACTGTGAGTGGTCTGTGCGAATAAGCCCCAAAACGAGTGGATCTGAGAGCGAGTGGCTCTGAGTGTGTATGATTCTGAGTGTGAGAAGAGAGCCTGGGCGTGAGTGCATATGACTCTGAGTCTGAGCATATACGAGTCTAAGTGCACTGGGATATGAGTGAGCTGGGTGTTGAGTCTGAGTATGGGTGAGTATGAGGGGGAGAGAGGAAGAAGGTAGTGTGTGTGGGTGTGTGAAGGGAGTCGACGGCGTCTGAGTAAGAACTATTTGTCACGGAGGTCCCCACATGTGCATTCCATTTGGTTGAACGTCCCGCTGTGCGTGTCTGGCCGTGGGTATCTGGGTGTGAGAGCGAGACCGACTGGACGGCGAGTACGACGACGACGGTGGCGGCTACGATGAGGGACACCGACAACGACAAGTCACAGGCAGACAGGCGGTGAGCAGGCCCTCTCCCCCCTCCTTCCTGTTACTACTTGTCGTAACCCCCTCGCTTCAATTTCTCCCTCCTCCCGTCTCCAGATTCCTGCGCCCTCCTCCTTTGTCATCCATCCTCTCTCCTCCGTCCTGGCGGCCGTCCTTCTCGTCACATCGAAATGATCATGGGGCTCTCAATGGCCAGGAGGACAGGAATCGGAAGTGTTAATCCGAGCGCTTCGTTCGACACATCCCCACGATGCGGCCGCCTAGGGTCTTGAAACCAGGGCCTCGCTCGAGACATTCTCACAACCTGTGCTGTCAACAAGGAAACCCAAGCCACCAGACAGGCAAACCGCCTGAGACGTCCACATTAATTTGGCGAGACTGGGCACACGTCCTCCTCCCTTCTCCGTCCTGGCGGCCGTCCTTCCAAATGATCATGGGGCTCTGAATGGACAGGAGTCCGAGGTGCAAATCCAAGCGCCTCGAGCGACTGGGGTACTGAAGCCAGCGCCTCGCTCAAGCCATCCTCACCATCAGCTCTGAAAGCAGATAAGCCGAACCCACCACGTAGGCAAACAGCCTGCGACATACCCAGTCTGGCCGCGAGCGGGCTCCTTCAGTACACCCTGGCGGCTCCTCCTTGGGTTGCTGAGAACAACGCCTTGCCCGAGACATCCGCACACGCTGCTCCGAAACCAACAGGGCCCGGGCCACCAAACAAGCACACCGCCTGGGACATCCCCACACTCTGGCCGCGGATGGGCCCGTGAACACACACACACACACCCTGGCGGCTCCACCTTGGAGCGCTGAAGCCAGCAAGTCGCCTGAGACATCCTCGCCATCTGCTCTGAAAGCAAATAAGTGAAAGTCACCAGACAAACCGCCTGAGACATCACCACACTGTGGGCGCGAATGGGCTCGTGAATTCCCCCCTGGCGGCTCCACCTTGGAGCGCTGAAGCCAGCAAGTCGCCTGAGACATCCTCGCCATCTGCTCCGAAAAGCAGACAAGCCCAAACCACCAAACAGGCAAACTGCACAGTATGTCCACACAGTCTGGCCGCGAGCGGGCCCATTCCATGCGTCTGGGCGGCTCCTCCTTCTGGTGCTGACGACAGCGCCTTGCTCGAGACATCCACTCAAACTGCTCCGACGGCAGACAAACCCAAACCACCAGACAAGCAAACCGCCTGAAACAGTCCTGCAATCTGGCCGCGAACGGGCCCGTGAAATATCTTCTGGCGGCTCGTCCTTGGAGCGCTGAAATCAACAACCCGCCTGAAACATCCCCACAATCTGCTCCGAGAGCAGCCAACACAAAACCGGCAAACCGCCCGAGGCGTCTCCGCAATCCAGCCGCGAAGGGGCCCCTGAGGTACCCCTTGGCGGCTCCCCCGCTAGACTGGTGAGGCCAGCAAATCGCCTGAGAGGTCCCCACATTCTGTCCTGAACGCACCGAACTCTAAGCCACTAGACAAGCAAACCGCGTAAGACATTCCCACAATCTGGCCGCGAACGGGCCGGTGAAACACACGCTGGCTGCTCCCCTTTGGGGCGCTGAATTCAAGGCCTCGCCACAGACAATATCACAAGTTGCGTGGGGCCGAGCCTGACTGTGAGCGGCCTGCGTGAAGGCATCCAAGTGCGAGCGAGCCTGAGCGCGAGCGACTATTAGTGTGCCTGGGCGTGAGAAGCGGGCCTGTGTGTGAGCGCGACTGAGCTTCAGTGTATCTGGTTATGGATGAATCGGAATATGCGAGAGCCTGTGTGTTGAGTCTAGGTGCGCGTGAATCTGAGCGAATGTGTGTGAAATGAGTCGGGAGCGGGTGACTAGAATTGATTCGACGCGGAAATAGAGATGCGTGCATTCCATTAACTGGTACTTCCCGCTGTGCGTGTCTGGCTGGGTGTGAGATCGAGACCGAGTAGACGACGAATACGACGGCGACGACGACGGCGGCGGCTAGGATGAGGGACAGCGACGACAAGTCACACACAGGCAGGCGGTGAACGACACCCCTGCCCCTCCTTCCATGTTCTTCTTGTCGTACCCCCTCGCTTTTTTCTCCCTCCTCCCTTCTCCATCTTCCTGCGCCCTCGTCTTTCCTCATCCGTCATCCCTCCTCCGTCCTGGCGGCCGCCCTTCTCCTTACATCGTAATGATCATGTGGCTTTGAATGGACAGGAGTCGGAAGTGCAGCACCGAGCGCCTCGTTCGACACATCGCCACGATCTGGCCGCCTGGGATGCTGCAACCAGGGCCTCGCCCGAGACATCCTCCCAATCTGTTCTGAGGTCACAGATGCTCAAGCCATCAGACGAGCAAACCGCCTGAAGCATCCCCAGTGTTTGAGCGAGAACGGGCACGCGTCCTGCCGCTCGCGGCTCCACCTTGGGGTGATGAAACCGGCGCCTCGCTCGAGATAGCCTCGCGAACTCTTTTCAACGCGAACATATCCAAACCACCATGCATCGCGCCTGATACATCTCCGCACTCTGACAGCGAGCGAGCACATGTCCTACTCATGGCGGCTCCTCCTTGGATTGCTAAAACTTGCGTCTCGTCCGAAACATCGTTACAATATGTCCTGAAAACGCCGAAACCCAAACCATCAAACTAAACCACCCGAAACATCCGCGCAATCCGGGGGCGCCAACTGGCAAATGTCATACACGCTGGCGGCTCACCCTTGGAGTGCCGAAACCAGCGCCTTGCTCGAGACATCCTCACACTCTGTTCTAAAGGCACCGAGGGCCAAACCCCCAAGCAGGCACGCCGCCTGAGACATCCCAACAATATGGGCGCGAACTGGCAAATGTCCCATCCCCTTTCGGGTCCCCATTGCGATGTTGAAGCCAGCGTCTCGCTCGAGGCAGCACAACAAGATGTTCCGAAAGCACTGGGGTCTAGCCACCGATCAGGCACATCGCCGAATTATCCCCACAGTCTGGGCGCGAACGGGCAAATGTCCTAACCACTAGAAACTCCCCCTCGGATTGTTGAAACCAACGCCCTTTTCGAGATCTCCTCACAAGTCGAATGTGGGGCGAGCCTGGGTGAGAATGGTCCGTGTGGGTGAGTCTGAGTGTGAGAGAGTCCGACAGACAGCCCGGCACTGTGGGCGCGAACTGGCAAATGTCCTTCCTCCTGATGGCTCCTCCTTAGAACCCTCAAACGCAACGCCTGCTGCATCGTGATGGGCATGAGGCGCTGAATAAAAAGCAATCTGGGTCATCAAACCGCCTGAGAAATCTCCACGATCTGGGCGCGAACGGGCAAATATCCTACCTCCTGGCGGCTCCTCCTTGGGGGGCTCCAGTGCCACGCCTCCTGCATCGCGATGAGCATGGGACTCTGAACAGAAAAGGGTCTGGGCCACCGAACAGGCAAACCGTCTGAGGCACCCGCACAATCTGGGCGCGAACGGGCAAATGTCCTACCCCCTGGCGACTCCTCCCTTGAGTCCTCACTTGGCCCGCCAGCTACAACGCGATAAGCGTGGAATGCTGAAGGAGAGGAGTGTGGGCCACCATGACAAGCAAACCGTCGGAGCGATTCCCACAATCCCTGCCACATCGCGATGAGCATGGAGCTCTGCACAGAGAAGTGTCTGGGCCAACAAACAGGCAAACCGTCTGAGGCATCCCCACAATCTGGGAGCGAACGGGCAAATGTCCTTCCCCCTTGGCGGCTCCACCTCGGGATCCTCAAATGCCACCTGCCACGTCGGGTGCAGTGGCTCTGAGTGCGAGTGAGTCTGAGCATAAGTGTATGAAGGTCAGCGAGTCTGAAGGTGAATGCAATCTAGTGTGAGTATGAGTATGCGTGAGTCTGAGTTTGTGTGGTCTGAGCGTGGGTGAGTCTGAACAAGAGTGATCTGAGCGTGATGAGAGGGAGAAGGGGGCGGGAGGTGAGGAAGCGGAGGCGTCCCAGTAGTAACAAGAACCCTACGTAGACTCAGGACGTGGGGAACAACAAACCCTCTTTGGATATGGGAAAAAAACGAACCAATCCACAAGCAATGCCACCGATATCTAGATATCGTCTGACCGCACCCGATCCCTGCTTGCAAACTTAACACACATCGCCGACCTCCAAATCCCTGGCATGCCTGGACTGCTCTCTCGATTCGCCGTCCTTTGACGTATACCGTCGATGAGGGAGCAATCGAGCGACTCGCACACCGCGAAAGCATGCACTGCTGCTGCTGGATGCCACAGGGGCAGCCATGAACTTAAAGCTATGCTTAGCCTTGATGGCAGCGCCCACCGAACAATGTCGTGTGTTGCTAAAGTGCTCCTGGCCCAAGGTGCCCCCAGGATCCCCAAGGAGGTCCCCATGGCCTCCAGAGCACCCCTCACGAGGCCCAGGGGGCCCCAGGGGCTCCAAAATGGAGCGAAAAGCTCGGGGCACCTTGGGCCAGGGGCACCTCTAGCAACCCCCGACAGTGGGGGTGTAGAAACTGTGGAAGACGGTGCGGAGAGCACTCCCGGCCCGGCACGCGTGCCTCGGCGGGGATGGCCCCGCGCGCACCGGACTGCGATGGCGCGAGCCGTGCCCGCAGCCACAGCACGAAAAGCATCGGGTGGCAGCCTTTCGTCAAGATCTCGGATGCCAGGCGGACGCACTGCACTATCCAATCGGCGGTGGACAGACAAGCCTCCATTAAGAAAGCCCCCCTTTAGTGAAAGCGGCCTGGGACCCCTAGACCGACGAACCTGGGCCCGCAAGAGTGACGGCCGCGACGCCCTCTCGCGAACCGAAAACGGCCAATTCGCTAATCGACGCGTCAGGGTAGGAGGTCGATAAACCTCCGATCCAAAGGCTGCACGTCGCACCGGCACGGCTGCGAGGGCAGAGCCACGCATCCGCCTCGCTAATCAGGGCCATAGCCTCAGCGAGCATCCTTGCATGAAACAGACCATAACAAGGTTGCAGCCTGCGCGAAACAGGCTCAACACGCAATATACAGCGCATTTCCCGCGTCCGGTGCTCATTATGTTGCTGGTGTACACGTGCTTCCACACCGAAAGAACTACCCACACTTTCATCATATCCCCGCCCTCGTCCAAAAGTGATTACGCACGACAAGACACACGCAAAGACACACAAACGAACAACAGCAGTACTGCACACATAAAAGCTACGAGTCAAGAGCAAATGATAGCTGAATGAAGAAGAGATCTCAAAAGGGCGCCAAGAGAGCCCCAAGATAACTCCAAGAGCCATCGGGCTCCCAGGGGGGCCCATAGTGGGAAGTTTGTGAGACGATTGGGTGGAGCTCCCCTTTCGTTTAACCGATGCCGTCTCGTTGTTACATCAAAACTCGTCCGTTCCCGTCCCACCAGAACTCGTCTGAAGTCTGCCCTGTACGGGCTGTGAGGATACGTGCAACTCAGGAATTCGTGCAAACGGGATTCAGCTTCAAGTATGATCCGCCTCCTCCCTCCTACTCTTCCTGCTGTTACGCCATTATGTCAGCCTCCTCCTGGTCAACCCCACTTGTGACTTTAGATCCAAGCTCACAAATCCTAAGCAAGACACCGCATGTAATCAGACAAAGCCTTTTCCAGCAAGATCATTGTAGTGCAATCGCTTGGGCATGTTTGCCACTCTCAGAAGCGAATCGCATGTACTCAATCGACCCACGTAGTCAATCAATACGTTTTACACGTCTGGGATGCCCACCGCTGCGTGAACGCAGCATCACGCTGCCATGCCTGTTCGCGGACGTACAGACTGTCTGGAGCAGTGTTGGCCAAATCTCTGCTTCAGTGCTCAAGCCCAGCAAATCCAACACATGCCGAATGGTGGAGCGGACCTCTGCGAGCTCCTGGCAAGCTGCGTTGCAGTGGAATTCCAACAAGGTTCTGCGCACCCCCTTGCACTGTCCATGGATCTGGATTGACGCAGCTCAAACAAAGAAACGATCTGGGCGGGAAAACCTCCAGTGGTTCGAACGGGTCCACGCTCGACCACGACACCGCGGAGTGGCTCATGTGCGATGGTGCCGATGTCATCGATATCGCCTTCGATGGAGCAACAAGGCAATGCTTCAAATGGCGCGCGAGTGCGAGGCGAGAATCGGCAGAGCCGCAGCATGCAGTCAGGATGCAGTATACGGATGCAAGCAGCTGGGCGTCCAATTTGCATCCGGCCTCCCAGGTGTCTCCTCGGGGGCAATCCGCCGAACATGGCACAGAACGGGTCAAAAGGAAAATACGCAAGGGTATGTTTGGAACACCGTCTCATCCTTGTTACGGCAAGTTCGCGTCGTGCCGACTTCAGCGTTGGTTTCTGACACCGCGGGAATCGTTCAAGCTTGGACGAACAGCCGTTTCCGACACGTCAGATCGTTCAACATCGACCGATTCTGGGCCGCTGAAAGCGATCGACGTTGACCGTCGGCTGCGGGGTCGCCGCCGGTCGACACGACGCGAACCTACCGTGTGTATACATATATATATATACACACACATATATGTACTAGAACCACGCGCGCGCTTCGCGCGCGCTTAGGTTCTGTCGAGTCACAGACCCAGGGGCTCTCTTGGGCCGCCTTTGGAGCCTCTTGGGGCGTCCTGGGTCTCTCGTGGGGGCTTCTTGGAGCTCTCTTGGCGCCTCCTGGAGCCTCTTGGGGCCGAAAGCTCGGAATTCTACAGTGGCTTTCTCCCTCTGGGACCCCTCTCGGGCACGCCTTGGGGCTCTCTTAGGCCATTTTGGAATCCAATTTTGCCGTCCTGGGCGCCTCGTGAACCGTCTTGGAACTCTCTTGGGGGCCACCTAGGCCGTCTTGGGAGCCTCTTCGGACGTGTTGGACGCGGTGAAAACCCAACAGGCGACCATGCGAAAAGTATACGTTTTCCCATAGGAATGGGACCATTTTTGCTTCTTGGACCTCTCTTGGGGTGCCTCTCGGAACGTCTTGGGCTGGGGCTGATTTTGGAAGCCTTTTGGCGCCTCTGGGCGGCGTTTTGGCGCCTCCTGGGATGTGTTGGGCCGGAAGCTCGGAATTCGAGAGTGGCTTTCTCCTTCTGGGACCCCTCTCGAAGTCGTCTTGGGGTTCTCTTGGGCCGTCTTGGGGCCGTCCTGAGCCACTCGTGCGCAGCCTTGGAGCGTTCCCGGAGGCCTCCTAGGCCGTCTTGGAGGCCTCTTGGGCCGTCTTGGACGCGGTGAAAGCCCAAGATGCGAACATGCGAACAATATACGTTTTCCCATAGCAATGGCACGATTTCTGTTTCTTGGACCTCTCTTGGGGTGCCTCTCGGAACGTCTTGGGTGCTTTTGGGAGCCTTGTGGCGCCGCTTGGCGGCATTTTGGCGCCTCCTGGAGCCTCTTGGGCCGGAAGCTCGGAATTCGAGGTTGGCTTTCTCCGTCTGGGAACCCTCTCGAACTCGTCTTGGGGCTCTCTTGGGCCGTCTTGGGGCCGTCCTGAGCCACTCGTGAGCAGCCTTGGAGCGCTCCCGGAGGCCTCCTAGGCCGTCTTGGAGGCCTCTTGGGCCGTCTTGGACGCGGTGAAAGCCCAAGAGGCGAACATGCGAAAAATATACGTTTTCCCATAGGAATGGCACGATTTTTGCTTCTTGGGCCTCTCTTGGGCTGCCTCTCGGAGCGTCTTGGAGGCTTCTGGGACCTTCTTGGTGTCATGACAGGCGTCTTGGAAGGCATCTGGAGCCATCGGAGCGCGTTCCGAAGCCGCCTGCGAACGATCTTGGACGGCGTCCGGCGGTCCGACGAGCCTCCGGGCCCCCCGGGGCCCACATTTGTGGTCGGGGTCCCGGCCCCGGGCCCCCGGACCCGGTGCGCCGTTATATGTATACTAGAACCATCGCGCGCGCTTCGCGCGCGCTCAAGTTCTAGCCAGACTTGATAGGCTAACTCATGCAATCTCATTTTGGTCGCTTCTTGCGTCCAGGGACGCCCTTGGAGGCCCTGCGCAAGCCTCGGAATCGTAGAAGGAGAAGTGCGGAAACGCAGAAATCATTAACTTCCTTCAGGTATTCAACGATTTGGGGCCCTCAAATGCTTCCTGGGCTCCTTTCTCAGAGGTGAAAGGGGTCTGAATTGTGGTCTGTTGTGCAGGAATAGACCGGGGGCCAAACTTTGAAAAAGAAAGGAATTGTGGGATTTCCGTGTTTTCCGGTTCCTCGGCGCTGTTCGGCGCTGTTTTTCGTTTGTGCCTCGCGGGTTTTGTTAGCTGGGCCCCTCAGGGGTGTGGGATCTTCCACACCCCCTGTGGGATCTGGAGGCCTCCTGGAGGCCTGGAGAGCCGTCGGAAGGGTATCTCGGGCTGCGCGGGAGCGTGTTGGGCCGTTCTTTTCGTTCTGGGGGCTCCTTGGGGTCGTCATGGGCTGTCCTTCGGCGTCTTGGGGTCTCCCTCCGGGAAGCCAGGAAGTGCGGTACCGGCCAGATATTAGGAGATGTGTAGGACTCCCGCGTAGGAGTCCCACTTTACAGGAATTCTGGGAATTCCCTTCTTTTCCAAAATCCTCGATCTTCGAGGGTTGGAAGCGGGAAAACGTGAGAAGGCGAAAAACATCAGAACAACCATTTGGAAATCAACGATTCTACCCTCTTTGGGCTCTCTCGGAACGGCTCTCGCAGCTCTCTTGGGCTGTTCTTGGAACCTCGAAGGGGTCTTTTGGGGCCTCTGGGGGCCCCTGGGGGGTCCCGGAGGCCTCTGGGGGGTCCCGGAGGCCTCTCGGAGGTCTCTGGAAGCCTCCTGCTCCCTCTCCTGGGCCCATCTTGGGCCTGTTCTGGGGTGGTCTGTCTGGGGCTGTCCTGGGCGCCTCTTCGGCAGTCTTGGAGCCTTCTTGGCCCATCTTAGGGCCGTCCTCAGGGTCTGTTGGGTGGTCTTGGGGCGGTCTTGGGAGCCTCTTCGGCGCTCTTGGACCGTTGGAAGCTCGAAAACGCGAGAAGCCGAAAACATTGAACACACACCAATGGAAATCTACGATTTGGCCTTTGTCCCGGGACGCCTCTCGGACCTCTCTTGGGGTATCTTGGAGGTTACCTGGGAGCCTCGAGAGCCGTCGGAAGGCTGACTTGGGCTGCTTGGGAGCGTCTTGGACCATCCTTTCGCATTCTGGGCGCTCCTGGGAGTCGTCTTGGGCCCTCCTGGAGCGCTATGGAGGCTCCCCGGAACGCCCGGGGGAGCGGTACCGGGAGCGTCCCCGAGATGTGGCGGGGAGGTGTGGCACCCGGGGCCGGGGGGGCGGTATGTATTTATATGCACTATGATATATATGTATATATATATACACACACAAGTGGCACGTGTGTGCCCAGGATCATACAAAAAACTGAAGGGGCGTTTGAAGCAGGAGTGAAATGCAACAGCGAAGTCGCACTCGAGCGCAAGTGGGGTTGCCACACGTTGCGATGTGTGTACCAGGGCCCCTCAGGAAGCCTCAGGCCCGACTTGGATACCAGAAGAGGCTCCAGGAGGCCCCATGATTGCGAGTGTTGTGTGTGATGTGTGCTGTGTGTTGTGCGTGTTGTTTGTGCGTTGTAGGTGTTGTGTGTGTGTGTGTGTGCGTGTGCGTGTGCGTGTGCGTGTGCGTGTGCGTGTGCGTGTGCGTGTGCGTGTGCGTGTGCGTGTGCGTGTGCGTGTGCGTGTGCGTGTGCGTGTGCGTGTGCGTGTGCGCGTGCGTGCGTGCGTGCGTGCGTGCGTGCGTGCGTGTGTGTGTGTATGTGTGTGTGTGTTATGCTTGTCTAGCGTGTGATGTGTTGGGCGTGATGTGTGTCTCTGTGTGTGCATGCAGTTCTCAGGCCCCAGGATGCCCCAGGAGGCCCCAGGCGGCCTCAGGAGGCCCCAGGAGACCCCAGGAGGTTTCAGGAGACCCCAAGAGGCTCCAGGAGGCCGCAGGAGGCCCCAGGAGGCCCCAGGAGGTTTCAGGAGACCCCCAGAAGGCTCCGAGGCGGGGTCTGGGGTACCAGAAGGTTCAGAAAGGCCCAGGAGGCCCCAGGAGGTTCCAGGAGGCCCCCAAGAGGCTCCGAGGCGGGGTCTGGGGCACCAGAGGGTACGTCGGGGCTCGATGTTGGGAGGATGTTTCAGGCGAAACCGCCATTCTCCGAGAATCGGGGTCAACATTATTGAAATGATCATATGTTTTTGAAGGTGTTGTGTTAAAATGTTGAAATTGCCCTGTGTTTTTGGACCCTGACGTCACGATCTGCGTGAGGGGTGCCACCGATTTTCAGAATGTCGAGGATGTCCCTAGCGAAACGGCAAGACAAATCGCGGACGCGGCGCCCCGCGTACGCATGAATCGCCTCTGAGCTCTACTCCCTCGGAGAGGTGCGTATGATCTATATATATACAAATATATGGTATATACACCTACACCTATATATACATATATATATATACACGCACATATATAGACATGGGCGGCGGAGGCTGTACGAAAGACAGTTGCTGCGGCCCCAAGCAGGCTCGGAGCGGCCGTCTGAGCTCCGCAACGCCCATCATAACTCCCTCCCCGACATGCCAGGAGGAGGCCTCCCTCCCCTTCCCCTGCCTCCACGTCCAATCCCCACTTCGCTGACAGAGCTCCCCCACTCTCAATATTCCCATCTCCCGCATTCCCACCTGACTCCACACTCGCACCCCTCCTAATCCAACCAGTGGAACTACCCCACACCGCATCCTCTGTCGCAACATCCCCCGCCGTCCCCATGCCCCATCATACCTGCAAAAAAAGTGCCGTTCAGACTCTGAGACGCCCCCAGACTCTGGGGGTTCATCCTGTGAACCAAGCTCACTCCCAAGGAATGTAGGAGGCCCGAGAGGGCTTCCCCCAGAAGCCTCAGCCAAGATCCGCCACCGTGTTCTCAGCACGTTGTGGAGTGCCCCGATGCTCATGCAGCCCTGAGAGGCAGGGGGGTTGCAAGGTTCTTCGTAAGGGCCCGGGCCCTTGGTTTCCCAGGCGCTCTTGCGCGCTCTTGCGCGGGCCCGGGGTGTGTCGCGCGGGACGGGCCGAGAGGGCCCTAGAGACTCCCAAGACGGTGGGAACAGTGCCCCGAG